CCACAATTTACAGGAGCTACTTCTTCTGTTGGAAGTACCAGCGCCATCCTGGCGGCTGCTGGTTTGATGTTGTCCTGAGGCCACATGCGCGAACAGTAAACCGCGCATTACAGCTGATCATGTCTCGTCCGGAACGAGCATGTTGAACTGACTTTGTTTCATGCCTTGTCCACTCCATAATTGCACTACAGCCAGGGGACTGAACTCCGACGAAGCGGCCGTCATCGTCCAAACTGGCGGCCGTTATTGCAAGGAGAACCTACACTTGTAAACGTAGTCTTGTGTCTCTTGAAATTGTCAAGTAATCCTAGTTTTGCCGCGATTTGTTCCTTGGCAGAAAGTCAGCATTTTACATATGCCTGTGCCCCGTAGGGATATTTTATGGCCGCCATAATATCGGGTTAAAGTTTGGAGGAGAGCCCCTATGCTCCTTGACTGCTAATTTAACCTTCGATCTACTGGAAGTTTGACCACCCATGAGACTCAAAGTAGTAATGATGGTAATGTGGGAAATCTCAAATTTCCCCCTCCAACCTCCCAAGAAGTTATAATTAGGGCACACTAATGGTTACATCAAGTTGTATATTACCCTGGGGTGCATCAAGGTGTGTAAGTTGCTCACTTGTAAGGGAGGGATTGATGGTTGGGTGGTAGTACGCGGCTGTTGTTTGTCATGTTTCTTTGAGTACAGTCGTATTTGATTAATCATTAAGTTTTTCATGGAATTATCTAATCTGTATAATTTCATCTCAGTTTAAACTGCATTATGGTAATGGTGAGAATAATAGTGGGTTATCCTCCAAATAACGGTCCCAAATTATCGAGGCCGAAAATATGTCTCAGTCACATGTCAATTGCGGACTTTCGGCCACTTAAATTGCTAACTTCCGGTGACTTCTGCCACCGCCGAGAGTATCTCCCATGCTGCTACGCGCGGTGTGGATTGGGGCTAAACTAGATGGCTGGGACTCACGAGCAGCAGCTACCGCATCTCCTGCAGCTTCCTTCATTTTATTAATTGTGAGTCTCAGCCATCTAGTTTAGCCCCAATCCGCGTAGCGGCGTGGAAGATACTCTCGGTGGTGGCAGTATAGTCCCTGGAAGTCTGCAATTGACATGTGACTAAGGCCCTGTTAGGGTATATTTTTGGTCTCGATAATTTGGGACCATTATTTGGAGGATAGCGCCTAATAGTGGGTTATTTTTTAGAGCATGAATCATCCCTGTAGCAACATGCGGATGTTAGTCGTGGACTGTCTCACGGTCATTAGATAAGAAAATAGAGGTATTCTAGCTGAAATTTTGTAGAAAAATTCTCAGACTAGTGCAATGATTTTCTTCACATCAGTCTCTTGGCTCTAGTCATTTGCAGACTTCTTAAATAGTACACTGATATACGTTTCAACAGGTTGACTCAATGAAGAAAACGAATGCACTGGAGGGGTGAGACGGATATACAGTCAGACTGTAACAGGTACCATTAGAATTGGAACTCTGTGTTTGCTGCTGAAAATGATAACTTATAGGAGTATTCAGAGTGCTGTGATGTCGGCTCACAACTCATAACTTTGTTCTTTCCACAGAAGTGACAATGTCAAGTGAGGTGGAGAGCGAGAGGCTCAAATTTATCAAGTCCATGACACAGTTCATTGAAGAAAAGAAGGAAAAACTTGACAGTGTACTGCAGAAACTAGGACTTTCTGCTGAAGAACTATTGAAGGTGGGTGAATAATTTGTTTAGCAGATTTATTGACTTTTAACTGTTTACTATCAGACAGAATTGACATCACAGCACTCGGGCATTCCCGTAAGCACTCCGCCCCCATCTTCAGCAGCCATCGCTCCAATACTGATGGTGTAAGTTTGATTATATGTCCGTCTTGTCTTTCCTCTGAGCCGCGAGTATTGGCCAGATCCCCTCATCACTCCCACTGCATCACTCCCACTGCATCACTCTCACTAGACTGAAATGATCAGTTTGCTTTCCGAACTGTACTCGTGCTCCCATAAGGCCTGCCTGTCCTCACCTTCCTCAGCACACTTTCCTTGTCAATTACAGTCACAATGTGTGTGTGTGTGTGTATCATGTTCTCTAACCAGGGAAAAGCTGCAGTGACTACCTCCACCTCCATTCTTAATCTGGATGTTGTAGTTTGATACCAGAGTAACTGAGAAGCAGTGACAGACACAGCTTCTAAAAAAATCTGATGCAACAGCATAGGTGCCCAAGAAGAAAGTGGATCGATGAATTTAAAGACGTTTTTCATCCACACAGAATGACAAGAGCCAGTGCTTCTTATCAGGCAATGGATCACAAACTGTTTCTTTCCCCCCCACGATGCTCCTGGAACTATATGGCTTGGTTTTTCCACAAAATGGCTAGCCACCTGCCAAGAGCATTGCACACAGCATGAACTGTATAGCTACAGCAATGATCCACAGGGATTTTCATAAGAACTGCTCTCTTTAACTATACATCTGTGAAACAAACCTACCGCAGTCAGAGTGTGAAACAGTGTTAACACTTTACAACAGAGCCATATAACTGTATGTAGTAGTCAAAAATGCTATAAATATTCTTTAGTGCAGCTGTTCTGAACCTGTGGGTCGCGGCCCTTTTGTGGGTCGAACAACCCTTTCACAGGGTTCGCCTAAGATAATCGGAAAACACATGTTTACTGATGTTATGAAGTAGCAATGAAAATAGTTGAATGGTTGGGGGGGTCACCACAACATGAGGAACTTCTTCTTAGCGTTCACCAGCTGTAAACTCCGGCAGAAAGTTCTGGTTGTTCATCCACTTCTGGACTGCAGTCTTGTTCCAGAACCTGAGGTGTGCATGTGCATCCATTTGACAGATCTGTATGCAGACTATTGGTTCCTTGCCTCTCAGGCAGATGCACTCCGACTTCGAAGGAAGCTCCCAATTAGTAGACTCTTACGACATGCTTTTGGGTAGGCAGTGGGTCTATTCTTGTTTTTCCCATAGTAGGGCCCCGGAACCCACACGGGGGATATGGGGAACTGTATTAGGATGTTAATTAATGTAAAATTATGTTTCCCCAGGATGAAGAAAAGAAAGTGTGCCCTTACAACAAGGACCACATCGTGCCAGGGAAATCTTTTCACAAACATGTGGAAAGCTGTAGGCTGCTGTCTGCTGGATATCAGAGAGATGAGTTGGTCAGTATCATGTACATTTTTGTTTATTTGTTGTCTTTTCATCTTCTTTTTCTTCTTCCTAGCGTTTACCGGTTGTAAAACTTGCCAGAAAGTACTGGTGTTTTTTTCATCCACTTCTGAACTTTGTTCTTGTTTTTCTTCTTCTTCTATGTTCACCAGCTGTAAGCTCCGGCGGAAAGTCCTGGTTGTTTGTCCATTTGGACTTTGGTTTTGTGCCAGGACCTGAGTTTTGCATCTACATCTGTTTTATTGACTTATTTGTGTGTAGTTGATTGTTCTTTGCCACTTGGGCAGATGTACTCAGACTTCGAAGGAAGTCCCCAGTTAGTTGACTCCTAAGATATGCTTTTGGAGGAGGCAGTGGGTCTTTCTTGTTTTCCTCAAATGGGACCCCGGAACCCACACGGGAATGTTCTTGTTCAAGAACTTGGATTTTGCATGCAAATTTGTTTTACAGATCTGGCTTTTTTGTATGCAGACTGTTGGTTCCTGACCTTTAGGGCAGAGGCACTCCAACTTTGAAGGAAACACCCTGAATTAGTTGCTTTCTATAACATGCCTGTGTTTGGGGGCCAGTGGGTCTATTCTTGTTTCTCCAGAACCCATATGGGGAGTCTTGCATCTGAGTGTTGAGTGTCAGCCAAAAGTCAAAAGCTTTATAAAGAGAAATCAAAAATGGACTGGAAAATAAACACTGGATACAGCCATGAAAAAGTGTCTTAAACATCGGAATATGACAGACCGAGTCACCATCTTCCATCTAAAGCACTGGGCATTGCAGCCTGAACAAACACTTATATGAATTATGTTGAATTAAGAATCGACATCACAGAATTTGGGACACTCCCATAAGTGCTCAGTCCCCATCTTTAGCAGCAAGGGAAGAGTTCCAGTTCCGATGGTACCAGTAACCGTATGATTTAATATCCGTCTCATCCTTAGGCCTGAGTGTTGAGCGTCGGCAAGATCACCTGGTAACTCCTCGCAGCGCCATTCTCCTTAGAGAGTAATGATCTATCTGCTCCTCAAAACTGTTCACTCATTCCCAAAGGGCCCTCACAATATCTGACGTGTCATACATCAATTGACCACCAAGTAGTGCTGAGCCAGCCAGTCTATCTGACTACTCATTTCCCAACACACTAGCATAACCTGGAGAAAATATCCAAAGGATGCTAACTACCCGGGACCTCTGAAGTGATGCTTGCCACTCTGGGCGAAACATGCCTGTTTTCACCTTTCACACTATGCTCTGTGAGTCAGTTATAACCCCCCCCCCCCCTTTCCCCCCATGTGTGTACAGCTGATCTCAAGCCAGTGGAAGGCAGCAGAGACTGCCACCACCTCCATTCTCAAACTAAACGTGATATTAAGGCTTAGATTATGTATGGACCAGATAGTTCTCTGCGGTGTTGTCTTCATGTTGAACAAATTTCAGAACATCTCTTGACAAGGATGTTCTCCTGGAGCAGTTGCAAAGTAAAGTATCATGTGACCACATCTGATAGACCTGACATCTAAGCTTTGAATAAACCCTAGAGACCTCAAGCTGACATCCCAGTTTCAATAAAGAAATTACTTAGCCATACAAAACTGGCAACATACAAAAGGGGTGATTATCTTGTGTTTACAGCTAAGCTATGTACCTTTCGGCCCAACACATTTGATTTCAGCAACCCCTTTATTAGCCTGTTAGCGGTGGTATGTGTTTTTTTCCCCCCTCTAATGGGGTGCTTAAACTCACACAGTGAGAATAAGAAGTGGAGAAACATTTCAGACTTCTGTTTTTATTTTCTTGTGCCTCTTTTTGATTTCAGCCAGTCCTGCTTCAGAATGTGGACTTTTGCTATGAGAACGCAGACTCTACAATGAAAATTGAAATAGGTAATGTCTTCTTTGTCTCGGATGTGAGTGTTTGTGTTTGTCAAAGCATGATGGCTACCTTTTAGCTGCTGGGGCGTGTGACTGTGTTTGTCAAAGCAAGATGGCTACCTTATAGCTGCTGGTGTGTGTGTGTGACTGTGTTTGTCAAAGCATGATGGCTACCTTTTAGCTGCTGGTGCGTGTGACTGTGTTTGTCAAAGCATGATGGCTACCTTATAGCTGCTGTTGTGTGTGTAACTGTGTTTGTCAAAGCACAATGGCTACCTTATAGCTGCTGGTGCGTGTGACTGTGTTTGTCAAAGCACAATGGCTACCTTTTAGCTGCTGGTGTATGTGTAACTGTGTTTGTCAAAGCATGATGGCTACCTTTTAGCTGCTGGTGCGTGTGACTGTTTGTCAAAGCATGATGGCTACCTTATAGCTGCTGGTGCGTGTGTGACTGTGTTTGTCAAAGCACAATGGCTACCTTTTAGCTGCTGGTGTGTGTGTAACTGTGTTTGTCAAAGCATGATGGCTACCTTTTAACTGCTGGTGTGTGTGACTGTGTTTGTCAAAGCATGATGGCTACCTTATAGCTGCTGGTGTGTGTGACTGTGTTTGTCAAAGCACAATGGCTACCTTTTAGCTGCTGGTGTGTGTGTAACTGTGTTTGTCAAAGCATGATGGCTACCTTATAGCTGCTGGTGTGTTTGACTGTGTTTGTCAAAGCATGATGGCTACCTTTTAGCTGCTGGTGTGTGTGTAACTGTGTTTGTCAAAGCATGATGGCTACCTTATAGCTGCTGGTGTGTGTGACTGTGTTTGTCAAAACATGATGGCTACCTTATAGCTGCTGATACGTGTGACTGTGTTTGTCAAAGCATGATGGCTAACTTTTAGCTGCTGGTGTATGTGACTGTGTTTGTCAAAGCATGATGGCTACCTTTTAGCTGCTGTTGTGTGTGAGTGTGTTTGTCAAAGCACGATGGCTACCTTACAGCTGCTGGGGCGTGTGACTGTGTTTGTCAAAGCATGATGGCTACCTTATAGCTGCTGGGGCATGTGACTGTGTTTGTCAAAGCATGATGGCTACCTTATAGCTGCTGCTGCGTATGACTGTGTTTGTCAAAGCATGATGGTTACCTTATAGCTGCTGCTGCGTGTGACTGTGTTTGTTAAAGCATTATGGCTACCTTATAGCTGCTGCTGCGTGTGACTGTGTTTGTTAAAGCATTATGGCTACCTTATAGCTGCTGGTACGTGTGACTGTGTTTGTCAAAGCATGATGGCTAACTTTTAGCTGCTGGTGTATGTGACTGTGTTTGTCAAAGCATGATGGCTACCTTTTAGCTGCTGTTGTGTGTGAGTGTGTTTGTCAAAGCACGATGGCTACCTTACAGCTGCTGCTGCGTGTGACTGTGTTTGTTAAAGCATTATGGCTACCTTATAGCTGCTGGTACGTGTGACTGTGTTTGTCAAGGCATGATGCCTGCCTTTTAGCTGCTGGGGCATGTGACTGTGTTTGTCAAGGCATGATGCCTACCTTTTAGCTGCTGGTGCGTGTGTGACTGTGTTTGTCAAAGCATGATGGCTACCTTATAGCTACTGGTACGTGTTACTGTGTTTGTCAAAGCATTATGGCTACCTTATAGCTGCTGGTGTGTGTGACTGTGTTTGTCAAAGCATGATGGCTACCTTATAGCTGCTGGTACGTGTGACTGTGTTTGTCAAAGCATGATGGCTACCTTATAGCTGCTGGTGCGTGTGACTGTGTTTGTCAAAGCATGATGCCTACCTTGTAGCTGCTGCTGCATGTGTGACTGTGTTTGTAAAAGCATGATGCCTACCTTATAGCTGCTGCTGCGTGTGACTGTGTTTGTCAAAGCATGATGGCTACCTTATAGCTGCTGGTGCGTGTGACTGTGTTTGTAAAAGCATGATGCCTACCTTATAGCTGCTGCTGCGTGTGACTGTGTTTGTCAAAGCATGATGGCTACCTTATAGCTGCTGCTGCATGTGTGACTGTGTTTGTCAAAGCATGATGGCTACCTTTTAGCTGCTGGTACGTGTGTGACTGTGTTTGTCAAAGCATGATGGCTACCTTATAGCTGCTGGGGCATGTGACTGTGTTTGTCAAAGCATGATGGCTACCTTTTAGCTGCTGGTGTGTGTGACTGTGTTTGTCAAAGCATGATGGCTACCTTATAGCTGCTGCTGCGTGTGTGACTGTGTTTGTCAAAGCATGATGGCTACCTTATAGCTGCTGGGGCATGTGACTGTGTTTGTCAAAGCATGATTGCTACCTTATAGCTGTTGCTGTGTGTGTGACTGTGTTTGTCAAAGCATGATGGCTACCTTATAGCTGCTGGTGTGTGTGACTGTGTTTGTCAAAGCATGATGGCTACCTTATAGCTGCTGGTGTGTGTGTGACTGTGTTTGTCAAAGCATGATGGTTACCTTATAGCTGCTGGTGTGTGTGACTGTGTTTGTCAAAGCATGATGGCTACCTTATAGCTGCTGGTGTGTGTGTGTGACTGTGTTTGTCAAAGCATGATGGCTACCTTATAGCTGCTGGTGTGTGTGTGTGACTGTGTTTGTCAAAGCATGATGGCTACCTTATAGCTGCTGGTGCGTGTGTGACTGTGTTTGTCAAAGCATGATGGCTACCTTATAGCTGCTGGTGTGCGTGTGACTGTGTTTGTCAAAGCATGATGGCTACCTTATAGCTGCTGGTGTGCGTGTGACTGTGTTTGTCAAAGCATGATGGCTACCTTATAGCTGCTGGTGCGTGTGTGACTGTGTTTGTCAAAGCATGATGGCTACCTTATAGCTGCTGGTGTGCGTGTGACTGTGTTTGTCAAAGCATGATGGCTACCTTATAGCTGCTGGTGTGTGTGTGACTGTGTTTGTCAAAGCATGATGGCTACCTTATAGCTGCTGGTACGTGTGACTGTGTTTGTCAAAGCATGATGGCTACCTTATAGCTGCTGCTGTGTGTGTGACTGTGTTTGTCAAAGCATGATGGCTACCTTATAGCTGCTGCTGTGTGTGTGACTGTGTTTGTCAAAGCATGATGGCTACCTTATAGCTGCTGCTGTGTGTGACTGTGTTTGTCAAAGCATGATGGCTACCTTATAGCTGCTGGTGTGTGTGACTGTGTTTGTCAAAGCATGATGGCTACCTTATAGCTGCTGGTGTGTGTGACTGTGTTTGTCAAAGCATGATGGCTACCTTATAGCTGCTGGTACGTGTGACTGTGTTTGTCAAGGCATGATGCCTGCCTTTTAGCTGCTGAGGCATGTGACTGTGTTTGTCAAGGCATGATGCCTACCTTTTAGCTGCTGGTACATGTGACTGTGTTTGTCAAAGCACGATGGCTACCTTATAATAGGCTAAATATAAGGCTAATAAGTGCCTGCTGGTACCAAAATTATGTTCATGTTAACTGAGTGTTCTTCTTAAACTTGTTTGGTAAAAATAGTTTTAATATTTCCTTATGTATAATTAGTCGCTGTGGCGTAGTAGCTAGACTCTTTTGAGTGCGGATCGGAAGGTCATGGGTTTCGCTCCCTGGCGGAGCCGGACTTTAAAAAAAAATTACCTTGACTCCCAGGTCGATCCAGCCTTGAGTGGGTACAAGTAGCAGTCCTGGGAAGTAAAGGGAGCCATCGTGATGCTGACCACATCACCCATCTTGTGCCGATTGGTCTGTAAAAATATGGGTCAAGCCCTATATACCTAAAGGCGTGGAAGAGGGACCTTTACTTTCCTCATGTATAATTTATTGTAATTTGATTATGATTTTTCTCTACTTGAATGCAGATGAGAAATTGTTGAATAAAATCATCTGGGACCACTGTGTGCAGAATGGGCAGGGTGAGTCCTTATATAATTATTTGTGTGTATGTATTGTTTCAACACAATTAAAAGCCTGTGCTTCAGCATCACCAAACAAATTTTATGTAAACATGTTAAGAAATACCAGTTCAAAGGAACTTGTGTGCAATGTATACCACTTCAAAGGAACTTGTGTGCAATGTATACCACTTCAAAGGAGCTTGTGTGCAATGTATACCACTTCAAAGGAACTTGTGTGCAATGTATACCACTTCAAAGGAACTTGTGTGCAATGTATACCACTTCAAAGGAACTTGTGTGAAATGTATACCACTTCAAAGGAACTTGTGTGCAATGTATACCACTTCAAAGGAACTTGTGTGCAATGTATACCACCTTCAAAGGAACTTGTGTGCAATGTATACCACTTCAAAGGAACTTGTGTGCAATGTATACCACTTCAAAGGAACTTGTGTGCAATGTATACCACTTCAAAGGAACTTGTGTGCAATGTATACCACTTCAAAGGAACTTGTGTGCAATGTATACCACTTCAAAGGAACTTGTGTGCAATGTATACCACTTCAAAGGAACTTGTGTGCAATGTATACCACTTCAAAGGAACTTGTGTGCAATGTATACCACTTCAAAGGAACTTGTGTGCAATGAACGATTTTCACCTACGTACATTTTCTTAGACAATGAACAGGTAAATGGAAAATCGAACTGAGTCTCTGGAAATGGGAATACAGTGCACCTCATAAGAACTTACCGGAAAAATGGTTCTTCTCCAAATAAGAACTCAAGCAAGAAAAATTGCCGGCGGTAAACAAGTTGTTGTTCACATCAGAAATTTGCCACATCAGAGATCGCCGTAAGGGGTCTGCTGTCTACACAGAAGAATAGGTCGTATTTAATGGAAACAAAAACAATCAGATATAGAGGTTCTTGATTGACCACAAATGAAAACAAAAAATACTTGAAGAAGACACAGTTGATATATTTTGGTCACATTACACTGCATAGCACTCTTTTGCAAACCATCCTGGAGGGAAATGTTGAGAGCAAGAGGTAGACAATGATACAAGTGGTAGGACAAAATAAAGAGATGGAGGAACAGCAGTCTGAGAGAGTCTACTTTCAAGACAAGAGACAGCTCATGTTGGAGATCCATTGCAGTCGACCTTCATTATGGAGACAGCACCGGATTGATCCCAAAGGCACATATGTGAATTCCTACTCCAAAATGTTAAAACTAAGTATTACTTTTCTGGCAACTACACAGTTTTCATTTGCCACAATTTTTTTTTCTTTTGGGGTCTCAATGTTGAAAAATGATTTTCTTGAAACAAAGATTTAGCACTTAGGCATTGTGCCAGTGAAATGTTCTTGTAGTCATATGTGAGTCATTAAACATTTCACCAAAGAAAAATATTTGGGCTCTTTGAAGTTATTTGTTGAGACAGACTCTTAGAAATGCCATAGACCAGGGCTATTCTACTGAGGGGGCCACATTTGACCCACAGAGGCCTAATAAGTGACCCATGGATCACCTGCCGATTGTATTCTACTAATGATCTTTCTGTGCTGGGACCCAGGCCACTGGCCCCCAACAAATTCAATTTTCCAGCATTTTGATTTAGTTGAATGACCCTGCCATAAACCAAGGAGGAAAAAGCTGACATTTGACAATTTCTGAACATTAAAAATAAAACTGTCTAATTCAGTGATTCCCAAACTGTGCCCCGGGGAGCCGCAACCTCTTTGCAGGGGCGCCGCAAAATATTTGAAGATACACAAGTTTTTAAAAATCTTTTACATATGAATAGTCATACTTTTACTTAAGTCAGGGTGACGTGGAAAAAATTTAATTTAAAAAGGGGGCCCCCGACTAAGAAAAGTGGTAAACACTGGTCTAGTTATTTTTATCGTGGTATGGGGCGTCGCAGGTACCAGGATAGCTGTCCAGGGGAAGTAAAGACCGCCGGCGTAATGCTGACCACATTACCCATCCAGTGCCGATTGGTCTGTAAAAATATGGGACGCTCTTCCCATATACCCGATGCGCCTAAGGCGTGAAAAGGGATCTTTACTTTACTGGTCTAATTAATAGCATCATGTCTCAGAAAAGGATATCGATATGGGGAATGGTTTGCTGGGACTAAATGCAAATGAAAGGGCAGCTACCATGCCTTGACTAAAAAAACAAAAACAAAAGTAAGTAAAGGTCCCTTTTCCACGCCTTTAGACGTATAGGGCATATAGGGTTAGACCTATATTTTTATAGACCAATCGGCTCAAGATAGGTGATGTGGTCAGCATCACGCCAGCTGCATTTGCTTCCCGGGACTGCACCCATACCCGCTCAAGGTTGGGTCGACCTGGAAGTCAAGGTCATTTTTAAAAAAAGTCTGGCTCTGCCAGGGAGCAAACCCACGACCTTTCGACCCGCACCTGAGCGTCTAGCTGCTACGCCACGACGGCTCCCGCCTTGACAAAAACAATCTGATTAATAGCATCATATCTCAGAAAGGTACAGCGCAGATCGCTCAAGTATGGGGCGTTTCTGTTGGGAAGAACAGTTTCTTTTTCCCCTGCAATTTTTCTTTGCTCGAACTTTTATCCAGATAAAAAGAATTTTTAATAAGAAAACTATTTCTTGGGTTCCTGGTGAGTTCTCCTTATCAGATCTGCACTGTAATCATTCATTCGTTCATTATCCTGTTATGTCATTATATGTCACATAGAGCTCGCAGTCTATTCCTCCATTCTATTCTGTCCTGTGCAGTCAGTTCTTCTTCTTCTTCTTTGCGTTCGGTTTTGTATGCTCAGATCAGACCATCAGGTGGGTTGCCTCTATAAACTCGCATGTCAGCTGCAGGTCCTGCATGGTCTCCCATAGCTTGCTCTGCAGTCAGTTCAGTATCATTGATGGAATTCAGTCCAGCAGCTTTGGCCTCTCTCATCCGTGTTAGTCTTGAGTTCCTTTTGGGTGTCCTCGTTCTCCTTTATTTCATATGTTAATGCCTGTTTGGTGATTTTCTGCTGTTTTTTCCCCCCTCATGATGTGTCCAAAATAGCTCCATATTTTCTGTACTGTATTAAGTAAATTACACTCTCTGTAAATTAGATTTAAATTAAATTTAAATTAGATCTCCGGTGGCTAAAGAACAAGATGCATACACATAGAGTCAAGTGTTATATGTCATTATCCTGTATAAAAAGTGCTTGTACCCCTGGCTATTGCTGTCCAATCTAAATGTTGAATTAAGAATCGACAACATAGCACTCGGGACACCCCCATAAGCGCTTCCTCCCCATCTTCAGCAGCAAGCGCGAAGAGTTCCAGTTCCGATGCTACCAGTAATTGTCTGATTGTATATCTGTCTTGCCTTTCCCTTGAGTGTGAAGCGTCGGCTAGATCCCTTGGTAACTCCTCACAGCGCCATTCTCGTCAGACCTTAACTATCTGTCTGTCCCTCCGCAGTATTCACTAACTTCCAAAGGGCCCTTACAACATCTAACTTTCATACATAAATTCACCAATAAGTGGTGCAGATCCGGCCAGTCTATCTGCCTTCTCATTTCCCAACACACTGGCATCACCTAGATATAATATGGCTTCTTCACTCCATTTCCTCACCTTCTCCTCTTCCCACTCTCCGTTACCACCTGAAGATGGTATCAAGCACAAGGATTCCATAGCCCTGGCGATGATTCTTTTTATTATTAAGTACAGAATCCATTGCTATCCTGTCTAAACACCTCTGACCCCATTCTTCACAGTGTACACAGGGCATCGGACAATGCCCGTCAGTCACATTGATGAGAGCATCATGCTGACGGCGGAAGACAGGCTAGCAGTGTACAACTATGTGGTGAAGAAGTCCCACGAGGAAGGGAAGGTCATTCCTGTTGATCGTACTGATGAGTTGCTCACCACTGACTGGGGCAGTCTGGTCAAGAAAGGTGAGCCTTTGTTTATGTTGTACCCCTGCTGATAATTATTGTTTTGAGAGGTTGAAAGGCTTATCTAGCAGTTGTGGGGCTAAGGGTCAAGGTAAAGTCGGGAGATGTGAACCAGCGTTATTGCACACGGTTATAAACCATAAGTGCTCTGCCACCAGTACGGACAGCTGATAAGAAACTGTCCTCCTGTGTTGCCGTCCACACACAACTCAGTAGCTACAGCGACGTTCCTCCATTTACCCCAGAGTGGTACCCATTACCTAGAGGTTGGGTGAACCCCGGGAACCGCCCGGTTTCGAACACCGCCTGTGGGTTGCAGCGAGTCGCAGCTGGATTTAAAAGTGAGCCTCCTATCGACTATAGGAAGCATTGACAGAGTGCACAGAAACTACATGATTGTCTTCTCTGCATTCACCGGCTATAAACTCCGGCGGAAAGATATGGTTGTTCACCCACTTCTGGACTTTGATCTTGTCCCAGAACATGAGTTTGGCATGAGCTTATATTTTATATTTCCCGCATCGGACTTTACAGCCACAGCAGATGCTGTTCCCAAAGCCAGCGGCACATCTCCATAGTCCCCCGGGACTGACGGATGCCATTATATATTTTATAGATCTGGCTCATTTGTATGCAGACTGCTGGTTCCTCGCCTCTCAGGCAGAGGTACTCCGAACTACATGATAATGGGAGCTTTCTGGGGTATAGTGGTAATGGGTTCGTTTCATGGCTGCGTTGGTCATTGCTTGCGTGCAGTGTTTGTGAAGATCTATAGAGATCATCACGGGATCTATGAGGTTTGTGCCTTGTAGCAGAAGATTGATATTCTGTCTTTTAAAGAATAATTCATCTTCTTGGTTTACTTTTTCTGGGTTTTATGTTCCTGTGGACCACAAGACCCCTTCTTCTACCACGTCAGCTTTTTCATGAAATTAACCCACTGCATGAGCAAACTTTATTTTCAAAGGCTCACAAATTGGGCACGCCGTACATTCGGCCCTTCCAGACAGCCATCTCTCAGATAACAGTTGTATTTCATCAATAAAGCATGTTATGTTTGTATAACAATATGCATATTATGAATATTTAAAAAAAAATGGGTGGTAAAATACCTAGGTCGGAAGGTGTTCAAAAGTGACATTATTGCACATAAATATTTAAACTTATAATTCAGATATACAAAACAAGGTGTTCCCATAATTAATCATGTGAATATAAACAGCATATTTCACAATTTATTACCAGGCATATTTCATCAGGTGTGTTCTGCAGCTATGTCAATATATAATAAACAATTTATATATTTATATATTTCAATTGAGTTTATTCATGTTTATGCTTCATTATATATTGATATAACTGCACTGAGGCACCTGATGAGATGCAATGCAAAATGCCCGGCAATACTTGTGCAATGTATTGTTCATATCCGCATTATTTAAATTCAGATATAAGATGTTAACATAACACATGTATGTGATCGAAGACAGCAAGAACATTAGGTTCTTCTTTGAAGGACCAAGAAATGTATGGTGAGTTGATTAGTACTGAAAGAGTTAACGATGGTGGGAAGGGGGTGGGGAACACCCAGAGGAACAATCTTTTGGCAGCAGCCTTTATCAACATAAAACCTTTTTCATGATTGATGTGGCTTTACGGGTAAAGTTTTCTATGAGATGAGATAGCTGGTCTCAGGACAGTCAGTCCTCCTTAGTTGTGTCTGTTTACGTGCATAGTATGTTACAGTGTTACTTTTTTTTTGGCTTCTCTTAAAATGGCCCTATGCAGAGCTTTTTTTCTAGACATGTGCTGGTACTCACCACAGAAGTGTCTAAAATAAGATGCCGGTACTCACCACAAGTCGGCTCTATGGCTAAGTCGATGCGAACGCTTCGCTTCCTAATGCCAGGATGCCAGGTTCGATCCCAGCTGCGGGCAATGGGCCTTGCGCTGGTTTCGACAGTGGTATCAAGAAAGCTGACCGTCCAGAAAGCAATGGCAAACTACTGGATGTAAATTGCCTAGAGAAACCACACAACAGCCAGGGGCTGTTAGGGTTGGTTCTGCAAAGTCCTGTAAAGGATACGCAATTAACTAACTCACCACAGAGTGTCTAAAATAAGGTGCCGGCACTCACCACAAAGTATCTTAAAAAGATGCCGATACTCACCACAAAGAATATTTAAAAAAAGGTGCCGGTATTCACCAGGTACTCACTACAATGTGTCTAAAAAGGTGCCTGTACACACCACATAAAGTCTATTACAGTAGCGCTGAAAAGAATAATGCCTACAAAAGGTGCTGGTTCTGCGTACCATTGCATGCCACCAGAAAAAGCCCTGTCCCTTTGACACATATAACGGGCCTGTTACCTTGTTTATTTTTTTGGGTTAAAGAAACAGTATCTGTACACATTGGTGGCACATCAGGTAAGACTCGTATTCTTATAGACTAACTGGCCCTCGATGAGTTATGTGGTCAACATCACATCGTTCGCCTTTACTTCCTAGGAAACCCATTTAAAGCTGGATTGAGCTAGGAGCCAAGGCCATGTATGATCAAAACTTGGCTTCACAGCCTTTGGATCCACAGGCAAGCATTTAGACGCTACACCACAGCGGCTTTCTACTTTATTTATAACTACACCCAATTCTAATCAGAAATTAATTAGCAGAAGTGAAAGAAGAACTCGTAACCTACAGATGATTTGTTTGTTGCCTCCACTAGGATTGTTGGATGCACAGAACAACAAGCAGTTTGCTTCCAAACTGGAGCAGCTTGCAGCTTTGCGAGATTTGAGACGGCGCCGACAGAGTTACAGAGCCAAGAATGTTCACATCACAAAGAAGACATACACTGAGGTATTATTCCTTTGTCTCATTTTACTAGATATCCGAGTCTCTAAGCATTTTATTATGTCTTCTTTTTCTTAACATTCATCAGCTGTATGCTTTGGTGGAAAAGTTCTGATTGTCCGCCCGCTTATTTGTGGAAAAGTTCTGATTGTTCGTCCACTCATTGGTGGAAAAGTTTTGATTGTTCGTCCACTCATTGGTGGAAAAGTTCTGATTGTTCGTCTGCTCATCTTTTTGATTTTGGCTACACCGTTTATCCATATCTTTCTTAGTCTTCCTACCTGATGTTCTGCTTTAAAAAGTCTCATATGCAGTTTGGCCTGGCCGCATTCTCACTAGATGGCCGAAACATTTCATTCTGTCTATATAATCCAGACATGGTCTTTTTCCAACTTTCTCTCTAATGCTGGTATTCGTAACCCTGTCTCTTCTTGTGTTGTTAGTGAACTTGCGGAGATAGCGCATTTCACATGTAGTTATTTTCTGTTCTAGTGCCCTATTCATTGTCCATGTTTGGCATTGATAACAAAGTGGGGATAAATGATCTATTAATGTTTTGCTGGAAGGGAGCAGTGGGGCTTAGTGGGCCCCTTATTGCTGAACGATAAAGGACCCTTTTCCTCGCCCATTGTGTATATAGGGCAGGACCTATATTTTATTGACCAGTCAGCATTCGGTGTGTGATATGGTCAGCACGACACTAGCCACCTTTACATCCCATAACAATGCCTGGTACCCATTCAAGGTGAGCCGACCTGGGAGCCAAAGTCATTTTTTAAGAAAATAAAGTCAGGCTCCGTTTGGATTCATACCCAAGACCTTTGGATTCGTAGTGAGCGTCTAGCCACTACACCATGGCTGCTTCTGCTAAATGATAGACATATTTAAATACATTGCAGTGGAGGAGGCAAATGTCCGGGCTTATAAAACTCCACGGCCAGCTTCAGATAAAAGACTGTACTGCTCAAATGGGAATTCCTGTTTTTGTGAGGCTGGCGTGGCCGATCGGTGGTAAAAATTTTTATTGAGTAGATTTATACACAAACTGAACTACATTTTAATTACTTTGCAACATGTATTATTGAATGAATTATTATTTTGAAGATAAATAAATGGGCTGTTAGAAAATATTTATCTTCCTTCCCTTAACTCCTTTCCCTATCCTAATGATCATATGTACGCTGTGGGACAGTTGCATAGGGCCTGAAATTTCATCCTTATTATCTCCGGCAGAATGACCGACATCCATGACAACAGTATTGATGTAAAGGTCAAAGGTAAAGTCGGGAGATGCTAACCAGTGTCATTGCACACGGTTTTAAACCTTAAGCCCTCTGCCACCAGTAGGGACAGCTGATAAGAAAATGTCCGCCCGTGTCCGCACGCAACTCTGTAGCAACAGCGACGTTCATCCATTTACCCCAGAAGTCTTAACTCAGGTACCCATTTCCTACAGGTTGAGTGAGCCACAGGAACTGCCCGGTTTCGAACACCGGCCCTGGGCTGCAGCGAGTCGCAGTAGACATTGAAAGCTAAGTCTCCTATCGACTGCGCTAATGCAGCCACAACAATATTGATGTGTTACAAGACAATGAATGGCATGGTTATTGTCATTTCAACCGTACTTTTAAGTTTTTCATTCAAACCCCCCTCATACTTACCTCACTCTTGTAGAAATTGTGTGAAGTTTTGTTTATACAGTGAAGACCTGATAAGGAGAACTCACCAGGAACCCAAGAAATAATTCTTATCAGAAATTCTTCTGATCCAGATAAGCAAGAAAAAATCCAGGAGATAAATGAATTGTCCTTCACAAAAGAAATTTGCCACAGCAGAAATCACCTTTGGTGATCTGCACTGCACAGTACTTTTATCTAAATTTTTACATTTTAAATCTTTTTTTTTTTTTTTTTTTAGATAATCCGAGAAGTTATTAGCAACCAGATGGAGATCCTAGTTCCTGCTGACTCCTCTGAAGAGATGCCAGTCGCAAACGAAGATGACAGCAGAAGTGAACCTGGACACTATAATACAGACAGAGACAGTCAAAAAGAGCACAGGCTTGATCACAGAGAGATCAAAAAAGAACATAGAGACGATTCTGACAGGTGGAGAGCGAAGGATAGAGAGAGAAAAGGCTCAGAGGAGAGATACAGACGAGGGGAGAAATCAGAAGATAGGTATAGTTCTAGGACACGCAGGGATACAAATTACTCAAGAGATCGAGGATTTGATAAGGATAGATACAAGGTCAAAGAAGAAGAGGGTGATTCACAGCATGGAAATGACAGACCTAGAAGATTCACAGAAGCAGGTGATTCACAGCATGGAAATGACAAGCCTAGAAGATTCACAGAAGCAGGAGATTCACAGCCTTCTGAAAGGATTAGTATGACAGAAACAAGTGGTTCACAGCCTTCGGAAAGGATCAGAATCTTACAAACAAGTGATTCGCTGCCTTCTGCTGAGAGACCTCGAAGATTCACAGAGGCTGATGAACTACGTCTAGAAGAAATCCTAAAAGAAATTAAGACAGAACCTGTAGATAGCAATGACAGCAGCTTTGTGAGCACCTCAGCGTATCTACCTAGCAATGAGATGCCGCCACAAGAGCAAATCAACGAATGTGATGTTGCGTCAGAAAAATCTTACTTGTCCAGAAAACGCAGCCACTCTGATAGTGATAGTAGCAGCAACAGCAGCAGGAGGCATGGAAAGCATAAAAAATCCAAGCACAAGAAAAAGCACAGCAAAAAGCACAAAAGGAGATAAGCTAGTATGTGGTTGGTTTATCACAATTATTCACAGTGTGGGTTTTCGGGGCCCAATTGTGGGGTAAATAAGAAAAGACCGACTGCCTCCCCAACACGCATGTCGTAAGAGTTAACTGAGGGCTTCCTTTGGGGTCGGAGTGAATCTGCCTGAGAGGCAAGGAACCAACATACTGCATATAGGTAAGTTAGATGTGTAAAACGAATGTGCATGCAGCTTTCAGTTTCTGGAACAAGACTGAAGTCTAGAGGGGAGGAATATCCGGAACATTCTGCCAGAGTTTACAGCCGGTTGAACGTAAAGAAGTTTATGATAACTTAATGAGGTAATGATAGTTTCTGAGATGCATTCCGGGAATATTTGCTATGGGACTTCAGTTCTTTATCTTCTACAGTTGTCCTCTAATAATGCAGTTGGCATATTGTGTTGCGGTTTACAGCTAGGCTGTGATATCTGCACCTTTTTGCCCAACACATCCAATTTCAGTTAATTCCTAATTTTTTTTAAAATGATGTGCTTGTGTGAGGCAGTCTATTTTTGTCTGACCATGTGGGATCTTTGAACCAGCACAAGGAAAATCTGTGTGTGTGTGTGTGTGTGTGTCTTGTTCTAAGTCTCAAATTTGATGCAAATTTAAATAAATATTTAAATAAATATATTTGTAACCAAAGAAAATGCAACGTTTCTTTTTGTCATTCAATTATGTTGTAAATGAGGCAGTCGTCTAGTTTGCATTATAGTGCAGAAACTGATAATTTATTATATCTTTCAGTACCAAACCTTGGAGGACACATTCTTGGGTACACGTTATTTTTGTTTTCCTCTAACTAAACCAGGTTCCAGCCCAGTGCAGTCATGGTGTTTTTTTATTTGTCTTGCACCTTTTCGGAGACACCATTTATCCATCTCTTTCCTCTCATATTCCTCCAGATGTTATGCTGTAAAAAGTCCCATATGCAGTTTGGTCTGGCTACACATTCTCACAGGTGGCCGAACCATTTCATTGTTTGTCTGGCAGTGTAATCCAGACATGATCTTCTAATTCTCTCTAATGCTGATGTTTGTAATCCTGTCCCTTCGTGCGGTTAGTGACCTTACAGAGAAAGCGCATATCACAGGTAGTTATTTTTTGTTCTACTACCCTATGCCAAAATTACACAAAATGTAATATAATGTTGTCGCTGCCTTCTCTGACAGACAGATGTTAACCCTTTATCCCCCCTGGGGGATCTGGGACCCCATTGCAGGGAACAGAAGAATAGACCCACTGCTTCCCTTTTCCAACAAGCATGTCGTAGGAGTCGCCTAATTTGAAATATGGGGGGACCTTCCCTTAAAGTCGGTGTGCATCTGCCTGAGAGACAAGAAACCAAAATCTGCACACAACTAAGTCAGTTCTGTAAAACGGATGTGCATGCATGCAACACTCAGACTCTGGAACAAGACTAAAGTTCAGAGGTGGATGAACAACCAGAACTTTTCCGCCAGATTTTACAGCTAGTGAATGCAAAGAATAAGAGATGAACCATTAGCATCTGAAATATTAGTGTAACTTCTTTTTGTTCTATAGTGCCTCTTGTTGACTCCTTCATACCAAAGTATTTGCTGCTTATAAGCTCAACTCCATGAGGTGGAAACAGTAAAATAACTGCTTGGAATGAAAGAGTTTAGCAATTTGTTGCTCGCCCCTCAAACAAGCACTGAAACGGGAAACAAGCCATCTGAGAAAAAGAGGGTGTCCGAGGGAAATATTAGGAAGAATATTATGAGACAAAAAATAATGCTGGTCTGAACTCCATGTCATAAATTGAGAAAGTTTCATGCAACAGAGCAGAGTAGAGGAATTGAGTCTGGTAGTCTTAGTTTCAGCTTCATAGCAAACGGGTCGCCCCATCTTTGCTCCGCTCCTGTGCCAACGAAAAACACTCAGAATGTTTATCACAGTCCCTTTGTGGAAACATTGACAGACTGCTGTCTCAGCATATCAAGCATACACTTGCATTAAAGCATACGGTAGCCATCTGAAGTGCTAACACAAACAGTCCAACATTAGAAATGTAGTTCATCATTGATGATAGCAGAACTTGTCGCCAACAGATCAGCAGTTGCCCACGAATCAATTGTAATCACCGCCAACAACATTGCACGACAGGCATCACGCCATTTTCTGAATCTACAATTCACACCACCACGTTGGTCAAAGTCGAAAATACATTCCAAATGCAATCCGCAGCTCACAGGGTCACGCCATGCATTCAACTCAGAAGCTGGGCGACGAAACTATATCCAGTCTACAAATGGAGCAAAAATACTTCGGCCACCGTCCGGCAGAAGCAAAAAATTTGCCTGCGCTTTGAACAGCGCCGCTGTCTAGCGTCCATTTTAACTGGCCATTGTGAGGAATTGAGTGCATGCCCTATGTGACATCTAACAGCACACAAAGGATCATGATAAATCACCCCTCAGTGATGTGGTCATTATCATACCAGCAACCTTTACTTCCCAGGATGTTTCCTGGTGCCCATTTTGGACTGGGTCAACCAGAGAGCTACGGTCACTTTTCTGTCTCTGAAATTCATCAGTCATTCAAGGTTAACATGTTACAGAATTCCCCATATGGGTTCCACGGTTCAGTTTGGTGAGAGAATAAACCCATGGCCTCCCTAACTAGCATATCGTACAAGGTGACTTATTAGAGATCGCCCCTCTAAAGTTGGAGGGCATCTGTCTGCCTGAGAGGCAAGGAACCAGCAGTCTGCATGCGAGTAAGCCAGATTCTTGAAACTGATGTGCAAGAAAAGTCCAGAAATGGAACGAAAAACCAGAACTTTCTGCCAGATTTTCTGCTGGTGAATGCTAAGAAGAAAAAAAAGATACATTTACTGGAAGTCGAGCAAGTAGCGCTATTACCATAAACATTTAACCAGATTCTCACAACCAAAAAATGTTGAATTAAGAATCCACATCACAGCACTCAGGACACCCCCATAAGCGCTCTGTCTCCATCTTCAGCAGCAAGCAAAGAGTTGAAATTCTGATGAAACCAGTAACAGTCTGATTGTATATCCATTTTGCGTTTCCCTTGAGTGTCCAGCATCGACCAGATACTCTTGTAACTCCTCACAGTGCCATTCTACTCAGACCGTAATGATCTATCTGTGCCTCAGCACAGAGGCACAGATAGATCAGTATTTGTGCGTCTGTGGGTGTGTTAGTATGTGTTTGTGTATGTCTCTGTGTGTCAGTGTGTGTGTGTGTGTGCCATTATGTGTCTGTAGGTGTGTATGGCTGCATGTGCATCTGTGTCTGTCTGTGGCTGTGCGTGGCTTTGTGTGTATCTGTGTGAGTCTCTATCAGTGTGTCTATTATATAATGTCTGCGTGTCTCTGCTTGTGTGGGGTTAATCCTCTGCGTGTATGCCTGTGTGCGTATGTGTGACTGTGCGTGTCTGTGTGTGTATATCTGTGTATGTGTCGGTGTTGCGTATGTCTATGTGTGTGTCTGTTTCCCTGCTTTTGTGTGTGTATGTGTTTGTGTGTGCCCGTGACTGCATGTGTGTGTGTCTGTATGTGTCTGGGTTGTATGCTTGTGTGTTTTAGAGTGTGTATGTATGTATGTATGTGAGTTTGTATGTATGTACGTACGTATGTATGTATGTATGTATGTATGCATGTTCGTGTGTATGTGGATGTATGTGTGTACTGAGTACCTATGTGTTTGTGTGTAAGTGAATGATTGGGCTTGTGTGTGTATATGGGTGTGTGTGTTCGCGCGTGAGCTTGCGCACATATTTTACCACCCATGCTTTTGTTTTTGACTTCATATCCATAATATGCATATCATTACATGAATATAACATGCTTCATTGATGAAATACAACTGCTGTGTGAAAGATGGAAGTTTGGAAGGGCCAAATGTAAGACAGGCCTGGGTGCCTAATTTGTAACCCTTTGAAAATAAAGTTTGTTCGTTTGTTCGTTCAGCACTGTTCACTCGCTCCCATATGGCCCTCACAACATCCAGCTTGTCATTTATTAGTTCACCACCAAGTGGTGCAGAACTGGCCAGTCTATTTGCCTGCTCATTTCCCAACACACCTGCATAACCTGGAGAAAATAACAGGATGCTAACTATCAGAGACAACAATTTTAATGTTCAGTTCAGGAACCGTATGCTCATCTGTTGCTCCACATCCACATTCTCCATGGCCTGTGATAAAGAGAAAGGAAATATACAATGTCATAAACTAACAGAGAGAAACAATGCATACACAAAAGCATTAAGTGGATGTTAGACTAAGAAGAAGGAGCAGGATCACATCTTAAGTTTATTAAGACATCACAATGATAACAGAGAGTTCTGGTTGCTCATTCCCCCTCTGGACTTTAGACTTTTTCCAGATTGACTGACTTATTTTTATGCAGACTGTTGCTTTCTTGCCTCTTAGGCACTCTGACTTTGAAGGAAACTCCCAATAAGTTGACTCTTATGACATGCTTGTTAGGGAAGCAGTGGGTCTATTCTTGTTCTTCCCCCCACAATGGGACCCCAAAACCCAGACAGAGAATATAACAGAAGTGATTGTTTCACCCCCAAATAATATCCCAAAACAATATCTTTGAAATAAATTAATTATGACAACAATGCACACAGGAGAGCCACAGTGGTGTAGTAGCTAGACACTCATCAGACTTTTTTCAAAAATGACCATGGCTGCCAGGTTGAACCAGCCTTAAATGGGTACTAGGTATAAAGTCCTGGGAAGTAAAGGCGGCCAGCATGATGCTGACCTCATCACCCACCTGATGCCAATTGGTCTGTGAAATTTATGTCTAGCACTAAATGCCCAATAGGCCTGAAGGCATGGAGAAAAGCATCTTTTTACCATGTCTGTACACTATGCCAGGGTTATTTAACTAGCGGCACTTCAGCTCTTAGAGCCCTAGCAAGTGGACTGTGAATCACTGCCAATAGTATTGTATTCAGATCTATCCACACTGGAGCTCGGACCCATGAAGATCCCCATTTTCAACAGTTTAGCCCCCTGAGTCAATTTGGTTGAAAGCCCATGCACTATGCAGTCCTCCAAGGCTGTACCAAATACAAGATACCATAGCAAAACTGTTGGCCAAGAGAAACACTGGTGCGAGCCAACCTTTACAGGCTGCTGAGTGAATTACAACAGTGAAGTTCATACCAGAGACAACATTGCAGATATAGATAAATCTTTTTCAAGCGAAAGAAAGAAGAAGAACTGTGCAGTTACAGCCAGTACCAAAGCTCTTATATAGATGTATTGCCCACTGCCCAAAGACATCTTGTCATCAAACACCCGTAAAAGTTGGAAAACTAGGTGTGAAAGGAAAAGCTATAATAAGCTGATAATAATCCAGAAAAAAAGGATACAATATAGGTGTACTGCCCAAAGACATCTTGTCATCAAACACCTGTAAAAGTTGGAAAATTAGGTTTGACAGGGTGAAAGGAAAAGCTATTAACTGACGATAATCCCAAAAAAAAGATAGAACAACAATGCTGACAACCCTGGCTATTACCTTGAGGAACTCTTCCCTGGAAATAAAAGCATCTTTGTCCAGATCTACATCCTGAAGAGTCCTGTCTGCAATACTTGCCAGCTGTTAAGGAAAACATGTCCATTAGACCCAAAAAAAACACTGTAATTATCAAAAGGTTGAATTAAGAATCGATATCAGCACTTGGAACACTCCCATAAGCGCTCCGTCGCCGTCTTCAGCAGCAAGTGAATATTTTCAATTCCGATGGTACTAGTAATTGTTGACTCACAAGGCCCTTTTTAGGGTCCTAATTTGTCACCTCCAGGATTGCAACCTATAACATTAGCTGAAAACTGTAATTTCCTGATTGTCTTCTTCTTCTTCTTCTTCTTCGCGTTCACCAGCTGTACACTCTGGCGGAAGGTTCTGGTTGCTCGTCCACTACTGAACTGCAGTCCTGCTCCAGAACCTGAGTGTTGCGTGTGCATCAGTTTTACAGATCTCATTCTCTTGAATACAGACTGTTGGTTCCTTGCCTCTCCAGCAGATGCACCCCGACTTCAAAGGAAGCTCCCCAAATTAGTCGACTCTTACATCCACTTGTACCACATTTATCCATTTTGGCTGAGTCATAAATTCCTCAGTTGAGTCTAGTTTGTGCTATCTACTTCAGTGATCACCTCCACCTCCATTCTCATCCCTGAAGTTGTAGATTAAATGGTGATACTGCTAGCATGTTGATGGTGTATTTGTTCAGATGCAGAATATATTTCATAAAGGCATTGTCTCCGATCTGTGACCCAAGTATTACTACAGGTATCGCTTTAGGTGTGTGACTCAGGTATTACTACAGGTATCGCTTTAGGTGTGTGACCCAGGTATTACTACAGGTATCGCTTTAGGTGTTTGACCCAGGTGTAGCTTCAGGTGTGTGGCCTAGCTATTGTTTCGAGTGTATGATCCAGGTATTACTTCATGTATCGCTCTGGTACTGCTTTAGGTGTTTGACCCAGGTGTAGCTTTAGGTGTGTGGCCTAGCTATTGTTTCGAGTGTATGATCCAGGTATTACTTCATGTATCGCTCAGGTACTGCTTTAGGTGTTTGACCCAGGTGTAGCTTCAGGTATATGGTCTAGCTATTGTTTCGAGTGTATGATCCAGGTATTACTTCATGTATCGCTCAGGTACTGCTTTAGGTGTTTGACCCAGGTGTAGCTTCAGGTATATGGCCTAGCTATTGTTTCGAGTGTATGATCCAGGTATTACTTCATGTATCGCTCAGGTACTGCTTTAGGTGTTTGACCCAGGTGTAGCTTCAGGTGTATGGCCTAGCTATTGTTTCGAGTGTATGATCCAGGTATTACCTCATGTATCGCTCAGGTACTTCTTCAGGTGTATGGCCTAGCTACTGTTTCGAGTGTATGATCCAGGTATCACTTCATGTATCGCTCAGGTACTGCTTTAGGTGTTTGACCCAGGTGTATGGCCTAGATGTTTTTTTTTTTTGTGTGATCCAGGTGTTCCCAAAACTGTATGGCTTAGGTACTGCATCATCTCTGTGACCCAGATACTGCATTAGGTGTGTGGCCCAGGTGTAGCTTCAGGTGCTGGACCTAGCTATTGTTTCAAGCATGTGATCTAGGTATCTCCTGTGTATGGTTCAGGTACTGCATCAGTTGTGACCCAGGTACTGCTTCAGGAGTATGACTCTGGTGCGGCTTCAGTCATGTCTCATGTCAATGGACCAAATCATACATTTTGTAGGTGCTTGGGTATCGATTCAAGTGTGTGACAAAAGGTATTTCTTTGGGTCTTTGACCAAGTAGTATTTAGACTTCCTGAAGTGGGTAAGCACCACAACGCACAAACTACTTCACTAAAATAACAGTTCATTTGAAATAGTAGATCTGAATCTTCGGTACCACCCCCCCACCCCCCCCCCCCCCCCCCTAAACTTCCACCAGACTACACAAACAAGACACAGAACTAACCTGTTCGTCAGAAATGTTATCGCCAACCATCATATGAAGAATATTTATTAGCTCCTCTCTCGAGATCATGTCATCATCATCCAGATCATACATCTTGAAAGCAACTGGTTCAATGATTTTTTTTTAAGTCAAATGTGTTTATAAAAACAACTAGTTTAGTAAGAAAACAAAAATTGTCCATATACAATTAAAAATACAGAGAAACATTAACTCTTGCATTAGTCCTGCATTGTTTTCTGACAAATTTTAGAGTTAATCCGAAAAATATGTCTTAACCTTTCCATCCTGGTGACCTAGTATACAAAAATGTCAATAACCAGTAATCTGGGAATTCCTCAAAACTATCTTTAAAAAATACAACCAAGATCATAAAAACTCTATTTATCGACCAAAAGAATATTAAATTCCATACAGAATATGGGGAGTCATCAGTAATCACAAATGCAGCAGAGAATTAAAAATAAATTGTTATCGTTACTCATTTTTTTATCATGTATGTATGTAAGTTGTACCCCACCGGGACATCACACTAAGCGATAAACATCCGGTGACATAAAGTGCCACCATGTGGATGAGGATCACCCGTGGAGAGGTCCCTGAAACCCCGTTCAACCATTAGGCCATATTTAGGGCCCCCGGCAAAAGCCAGGGTGGGGCTTCAAATAACATAAAATTGCATTTCACATGGGGACAGCTATTATCTGTATTTGTTATATGAACTGGCCGCAGATTAGCACTCTGACCGGTGGGAAAATTATGGTGTCATAATTTCTGTTAATTTCCCTTCTAAATGCTATATTTAGTAACTAAGTCCCTTCCGGTCCTTAAAATTGGGTGTAAGCGATAACAGTGCTGTTAGCTAGGTATCTTGGGTACAGGATACTATAGCCAAGTCTGTAATTTGATTCTCTCAGGCTTATGATGGTGACAATAATAAGGAAAAACTCCACATGGGAGCAATCGCAGCAGGAACAGCTACCGATCATCAGTAGGATGGTCCCTCGTCGCAAATTGTTTCGGCCCGATATCCTGGACAATTTCAGAGGGCGGAACGGCCTGGTTCATGACACCAGACCCCAGTTCTCCTGCTGCATTTAATCGGACAGGGACAAGACGAAATGGTAACTTTGTAACAGGTAATGTGTGATTTGGCGTTATATATATGACAAGGTTAATCAATCAATCAACTTTAATAAGCCTAATCCATGTCACCATTTTACTGGCGCATGTTAAATCACTAGCAATGATGTCATTTAAAAAGTTCAAATTCAAAATGTACAACTGGATAAGCTGTAATTCATAATTTATATCGGAACCTAAAAACGAGAACAAATATGTTTAGTTTCTGATTTGATAGCACTGGCTGGCTCTGTCTAAGATACTTCAGGACTGTCAAACTCAGAAAACCTGCTCTGCTGGATATGATCAGTCTATTAATAACCACATAAGACTACCCAGCATAAGTTCTCTCGGCCCGCCTACACCTCTTCTACCGCTGATCTTTCCAGTTTTCACATTGTTCTCCAGTGCCTCCCTTCTTGTCACATGATCAAAGAACATTGTGTGCCTCTTTCTTATAGTTCTCTATAATGTTCTGTTTCTATCAGCTTCCACCAGGCATTCTTTGTTAGTTACCATATCTCTGCTGCATCTATTCTCTCCCTAATTTGTACATCCCCATTCCTAGTCTCTTTCATGCGTCACAATTTATTCAATGTAACATTTCAACACTCTTTTTATAATAAACTTTGTTGTTGGCACCTTTCCATCTTTCTAGATGATAGTGTTACGCTGTGCTACAGTTTCATGGGAATCACAGCGCATGGAGATAGACAACTAAGGCCATAGATGTAGTTCCTCCTCTTCATAATGTGCATTCTACTGCATGAGCCGCAATGTCATTTACACCATCAGCTGCAAGAGATGTGGCATGAAATACATCGGTGAAACGGGTCTACAACATCTTTTGGATGTGCAGAATGGTGCCCTGAAATCAGTACCGTTGCACTTTAATTCCCAGAATCACTAAGGTGTCCATGACATGGAGGTGACAGCCATTAAATCCAGCCGCTCCAGTAACATAGTCCGCAAGTCTCTCGAAAATCGCTTTATTTTTACCGTGGGCACCTTAACACCCAGGGGACTGAACTGTAAACACAGTTACATCTAAAATTCTTGAGTATGGCCCTTGGCATTTCCCGGCTATTTATTCTTGGGCCCAAAGTGTCCCTTCCTTCTATTAGCAAGACATCAACGTAGCTGCTTCTAGATACATCATTTGAGTGATTCTGTTTATCCGTGTGGTTTTGTTTGATTTATGAATGTGCTTATGAAGGTTCTATAGCCGTAACGTTCAAGCTTAGTTTGTGTTTTTTATATTGTGAAGCTCGTTGACCTACTTTTCTTTCGGTTTTATATCTCTCTTCTTCATAACACTCAGCTTGTGCAGCACTGTGGAACCCATGTGTTGCCCCTGCAGCATGATCAATCGCTTGGCATGCCTTGTTTACTTCGAAGGAAAATTAACACCAAAACATTTGGAACAAAGCATTCCGCAGAAACTGCTGGATCACAGGAGTGCTCTGCCTGTCACAAACCACCTGCCAACAAAGGGCTTTTACAAACTTATAACAATGAAAAATTAAAAAAAAACAAGGAAAAGGAGAAACTCACAGTTCAATTTCTCCACCCTGCTATTCAGTTTGTTTTTCTGTACATCTTTCTTAACTGGAATGAATCGAGCGAGCACTCTCATGAACTGGCGGAAGTTGACCGTATCAGAACCACTA